AGAGTTTCAATCGTCTTAAAAACTAGTAAAAACAGTCGACCAACATATTAAAATATATAATTTAAACAATCGCATTCAACCTGTTATTATTGTTATTATTAGTAAAAGTAATTGGACCGAGTGGAGTACAATTCAGAAAATAATCGCGAGAATAATTTTAAATTCGCACCAGCGAGAAACGCGAACCCGGTTTGAAATTACGTGCACAATTATCCCCTGTATTTTACAACACGATTTCCAATCACTAATTATTTGTATTTATAACAAATTTCGAAATTAAAAAAAAAAAGTCCTACGGGAACTTCTTTAGAGGAAAGGGTCAGTAGCGCTTTCCATGAGTTTTAAAAACTTTAGGCAACATTAAGAAGGAAGCCATCAAAGTGCGCGTAATTGACATGCGAACCACGTGGGTATTCAATCACAGGTATCCAATAACAAAAAGTTGTAATCCGATACCTTTACTTGGACACCGAAGTGATCGCACGCCGATTGCGTAACAAATTGGCACACGGAGAACCAATCAACATCGAGAATTTTGTTATAGATACGATTATATTTGTGATTATTATTTATTTTAATTTATTTTTTAATTACAGTCGAACCTCTATTAAGCGACCCCCTATTTAAGTAAGTGGTCAACCTTTATTTGGCGGCCGGCGGCCAAAGCCCTGGAAAAAGTGCGGAATCGTGGCTTATTTTTCTCTAAATGTCAATACGAACGCACTTGTTTTGGCCAGTTTAAGTCACGTGACACCCGCGCGTGAGTTAGCCGAACTTGTCTATAAAAACCTCTATTCAGCGCCCACGTCTATTAAGCGGCCGCGGCCAGCTTCTTGCCATCCCAAGGGTGATTTTGTTTTATTTTAAACCGCTATTAAACGGCCAGGAAAAATTGAAGTTGGAATTTTTTAGCCAGATGAAGTAAATGAATGGCAATATGGAAACGAAATTGTTTCTTTGGCTTTTGTTACGTCATGGACTGTATGATAACTACCATTATTCTACTTTTTCTCCACTTGCATTTGTTTGTACTTAAATTTGATAAACTGAAAACTGGACCACGCCCAACGTTGTTTTCGGGTGAACCTCTATTAAACGGCCACCTCTATTAAGCGGCCTGTTGTCTTGTCCCCGAGAGTGGCCGCTTAATAGAGGTTTGAATGTAATTACTTAATTTTTCAGTAGTGTCCTGTTTGATATTTAAGTGTACTTTTAATGCATAGACTCTCGCGTAACTTCCAGTTTTTGGTAGCCTTAGTCTACCCGTAACCATGCACCACCGAGGAATTGGTTAGAAATCTGGGAGTCAAAAGAGTTATTAACAGTACTCAGTCTGGGAAACCGTTGTTCCGCTGCCAGCGAGGTGGCCTTCTAGGCTATCACCTTTTAATTGCTAGAGCATTTCAGATAAAAATGACTAAAAAGTAAACGTCACTGCAAGGAATTCAAAATTTTGAGCTCTTCTTGTCATTAACATTACGTTAACAATTCTAGCAATTATGTGACGTGATTAGCGTTGCTTAATACATATGCGGCAAGAATAAAATTAAATTTAAATACAATGAAAAGAAATTCACCAACCTTCGCTACAACATTGTGCTTTTCCACCGATACATAGTATTTTTCCTGTCCAACACTTAGTCCAAGGCTGACCCTCGGCTTACCTGGTGTCGATCTGTCCTGGACTTGAACAACACCTACACCATTACATTAACAGGAATCATTTTTTAATTCTATTCAGCCCGGGAAAGAGAGGGATTGAGGTCCCATCTAACTTTAAACGTTTGTAACGGACGTTCCCAAAATCTCATACCCCATCGTAATAGGAGGAGGAAGGGATAAGGAACCCCTCCCCTTGGTTTTCGTTCTAATAAGACATGACGTAATTAATATAAAATAATAGATAGCTCCTGTCAGTTTTGCAAGTGTGACAGGTGACACCACAAGACGTCATCAAGCCAGCCATCTTGGATATGCTACCTCGGACTTAACTACTTTCTTAGGTAAATCAGAAAACAACGTACATTGATTAAAAATTAATAATAATATTCCAAAATAGTAATTATATATAAGTAACAATTCTGCAATACCGATCGAAAAACCTAAAGAGATCAATTCTGTGTATTTTTTTTTCTTTTATTAATTTTAGTAATTCTTATTTCAACGAAAACTCTGAGGATATGTTCTATCCAACCCGTCCTTAGCTTTCCTGTACCGCCGGAGCTGGGATTTGTGAGGTCGGAGGCACATCCCCCCCAGCAAACCTCCTGCACGGTGGGTATGGCAACCTTGTCGTGTAGAGAAGGATGCACAGAACTTGTTCTCCAATTATTGGACATTCACTTGGTCAAATTTGCATAACTTCGACTAAGATGAGGAATGTAGTTGTATTGAGTAGTCGAAGTATAAAGTATTAGTGAGGCAAAGTCCAGGAAAATGATGCCAGCCATCTTAACATGTCAAGCTAAATCGACTCGGTTTAGACCTCAAAACATTGTTCACATTAATACGATATTCTAGGAATTTTACCCAGTACGATTGATCAGTTTTATAGCGCCATAAAACACGCGATGCAGTGTGCATCGTGCTGTGTGCTGTTTTTATGTGCAAATTTTGAAATATGTACTAATAGCATGCAATAATGTTTGATTTGAAGCTGAATGAGTACAAATTTCTACAAATTTGGAGGGTTTTTTGTTTTTTCACTTCGTCAAAAGATACCTATAACTACAACACGAGGCTTTCTTCTAGAATGACTTATGCTCTTCCAAAAACCAGAACAAACTAAGGAATATTCAACATTAGATATCAAGGTGCAAAGATCTGGAATGATATTAGTGAGGATATTAAGCTTCCGCCACTTAAACATTTTAAGGAAAAGACAAATCAAACATTATTGCATGCTATTAGTACATATTGAATATCTGTAATTCTGTATGTAAATTATAACTATTCTCATCAATACACTGTATTATCCAACTATTTTTCACTAAATCTGTATGTATAATTAGTCATTTTGTGTGTGCATGTGTGTGTGCTGTTGCATGTGTTTTTTTTCTTATTTTCACTTATTATCTGACCCAAAGAAATACTTGCTTTAAATCACTAAGAATGGCTGCTCAGGAAAGTCTTGTTAGCCCATTAAGGCTATTTCGGCCTGCCATGATATATGTACTCTTTTATTTTATTTTAAACTTATTTTTGTTCTTTTAATTTTAAGCTGAATGAGTACAAATTAAGCTGCTGTTGTTGTTGTTGTTGATCTAACTTTTCAGACACACATCCCACCATTCCAATTAACAATGGCTGATAGCCTTCATTGTGGCAGCTCAGAGAGTAGGGACTCATCAGCTAGAAAACTGGCCTTTGTCTGTCTATACTTATTACCACGTGGTTATAAAAATCAACAATAAACTTGGATGCTCTAACCATTTTCTCAATCCCCCTATTCTAACATGGACAGAGGCTGTTGAGGCGCTCACCCTCTTTGAACTCTTGTAACTTTAAAAGCGGCGCAATGACAAACAAGAAATTTGGTTACTTTTAATAAACCATTTTCTGGAAACCCGTTTCATTAAATTTACTTGTCATTTGTAAAAGAACTTGATGCAACGATGACCGTTGGTTTGAATTTTGCTGTTGAGGATAATGGCATTTTTTTTTTTTTTTTTTTTTTTCTTGCGGTAACTTAGCTTTTGATTTTAAGGTAAATTTAATTAGCTTTCCCTAGCAACTTTGACTATTTTCACACTATCCAAGACGCCGTATGTAAGTTCGCGAATGTTCCGATTAAATGACATTATTTCTACGTTAAATGATATCATCATTTCAAGGTACTGACCTGAAACAAAATACTTTTCATATGCTATAAATTGTCTGTCTCATTCTCAAAGCTTTAATACTGTAAGGGTAAATTAAACGCATGTGGAAAACACTCACAAGCACCGGTCGGGTCATCGAACCTTCCAGAAAATTTGATTTCTGGATCACCTTGG